TCAATTAGAAACACATATGCTCTCTCCAACCCAGGAAACATTCTCTCAAAAAGATAAATCCAGGGGCGGGGATTTAGCTCAGTGGTGCCACCGCCTGCCTTGCAAGCCCAAGGACCCAAGTTCGATCCCCGGTAAAAAAAAAGAAAAATTAACCAGCTTAAAGTATAAAAAGCAAACTAAAGACTATCTTTTCTACAAACCTGAAATTTTTCCCAATAAATTAAAAATTGGATGCTTTGCCTTTTCCTACATAAGAATCTTAGAAATCTGGACAAGTGGAACACCCCCTACTGCCATCTCACCTACATGACCTCAACAAGGTTTCTACTACACAGCTCATAATCCTCTTTCTCTATATAACTTAGTGGTTTCTAGATCTTTCCTGTTCTCCTTTCCTGACATAAGAACTCTTTTTTTTTGAGACAAAGTCTCCCTGCGTAGTTCAAGCACACCTTGAACTCACTATGTAGTTCAGGTTGGACTAGAACTCTGAACAATCCTCCTGCCTCTGCCTTCCAAGTAATGGGATTACAGGTGTGCACCACCACATCCAGCTAAGAACAATATTTTATTTTTTTAACAATATTTTAAATCTGTATTTAGTTTTTTAAACATTACTTTTTATTACATTACTATAATTCATTTTTTCACATTCTTACACTGGAATCTCTTAGTATAAATGAAGACTCAGTGTTATTCCATCTTTCCTGAACTACAGTCCCTTTTTAAACAAGAAATATCCTTATTTAGAGAACATACTCATATCCCTGTATGTACCCAACTCATGGTTCTGCAAATGTTGAGGAATGAAGTCACAAACCAAGAGGTATGGGGAGTTTTATGGAAATTATAAGGCGACTAGCTTTTGGGTTTCCAGGAGCCGTCCTGCGGTGGCCACATGGCTCCTGGATCCAGAGCTAATTATAGATAAGCAGAACACAGGAATTGTTAAGCTGTTCTGCGCCCTCCTACCACAGGTGGCTCTGTGGATTTAAAATGACCAGCTGGGACTCAGGCTTCTAACCCACCTCTTTAACATGTAGGGTTTAAAAGAAATGGGGATTTTAGAGAGAGAGAGAGAAAAAAAACAATAGTCATTTGTATTTTAATAATTTCCTCAGAATGCAGGAGCTTAGTAAGGAGTGGCTGCATCTCCCCTTTAGTAAGAGGCCATGGGCTGCCTTCCTGGTTGCCTGAGGAAGTTCACCGCACTTAAATTCCTCAAAACTCAGTTTAGTAGGGAGGGGCTGCATTCTATATTGTCTGAGAGGACTTTTCTTGTTCCAAAGTCCAAGCTCACTGTTCTTATTTTAATTCTTATCAATATGACTGGTCACCCAGCTCTATCTCAGACCCTTCCCTTAGCTAGCTACCTTATTCATAAGCTAACTGAATAAACTATTTTCTACACTTACATCCTAGCACATTCATAAATCCAGCACATCAAGTTTCAAAGAACAAAATAAATTTGTGTTACAGTCTCAAAATCTCTTTATTTTCTGTATTAAACACAAAAATCATAGATCACAGCACTGTGTTTACCCTGGGGGGGACTGTTTTGCTTTTAGTGGTACTGGGGGTTGAGCCCTGGGCCTTCACACAGAGCTCCATCTCCAGACACTTACACCCCTATACTTTAAATTTTGAGACAGGTTCTTGCTAAGGCCCGAAAGCTGAGCTGAACTTGTGATCCCCCTGCCCCAGCCTCCCCTAGTGCTAGGATTACCCTCTTTCCCAACTGCTTTTCTTTGAAACATACTGGGTACTTCACTATTGTTCAGAGGTCAGCAAACTATGGTCTACTCTCTACATTTGCTATGGCCTGAAAGCTAAGCATAGTTTTTTACTTTTTTTTTTTTAATGACTGGGGAGGATCCAAGGGAGAATATTTTATTACACACAAAAATTATATGAAATTAAATTTCAGCACCATAAATAAAGTTTTATTCAAACACAGCCATACTCATTCATTTTTATTATTTAATGATGTTTTCACACTATAAAGACTGGGTTGAAAATGGGCTGCAAAGCCAAAAAGACATCTCCTCTAGCTCTTCATAGGAAAAAATTGCCACTCCCTGCTCTACGTCTTACTGTAGAAAACAGCTGATTTAGTTAGCTTATGAGTGAGGCAGCTAGCTAGCTAGGGGAAGGGCCTCAGAGTTGGGCGACCAGCCATATTGATAATTAATATAATAACAGACAGTGAACTAGGACTTAAAACCACAGGTTAAATTTCCTCTGGGAAGAAGCTCCTACTAAAGGCCCCCAACCTCTGAGGAAATTAAAATACAAATAACCAGCGTTTTTTCTAAACTTCCAGTTTCCTTTAAACTCTACATGTTGAAGAATTTGGCTAAACAGCCTGAGTTCCAATTGGGCATTTTAAGTCTACAGAGGCACCTGTGGTAGGAGGCCCCTGAACAACTGAGCAATTCCTGTGTTCTGCTTATCTATAAACAGCTCTGGATGGAGGGGCCATGAGGCCTCTGGACCCCTCCAAGAAGTCCAGGAGCTGTTCTCCTCATTTAAAACAAAAACTCTAAGGAACGGGGATTTAGCTCAGTGGTTTTGCTGCCTGCTGCGCAAGCACAAGGACCCAAGTTCAATATACGGTACCAAAAAATAAAATAAAAACTCTTAACATCCTCCTTTTGGTTCACGACTTCATTCCTCGATGTTGCGAGACCACGAGCTCAGCACATGTGGCAACATTACTATATGCTCTCCATAATTTTGTAGTTTTACCTGAACATTCTCCCCCTTTTCCTTCCACAGTAAGTACAAAGTCTCCTTAATAATGCATTAATCTGGGCCAGGGATTTAGCTCAGTGGTTCCACCACCTGCCTCACAAGCGCAAGGTCCTGAGTTCGATCCCCGGTACCGAAACAAAAACAAAACAATGCATTTCCTCCTGGTAATTTCTTTAATTACCTTCTTGATCATCTATAAACATAATCCCATAAAGCAGCGTTTAAGACATCTTAAATGATACAAAATTAACAAATCAATAGCAGAAGCAAATCTCACCAGCATCACTCTCTTCCACAGCCCAGTTAGTGGCTTTAAAACTACCTTACCTTAGAATTGAGGTGTTTCTGAACTACGTAGCAAAGCTGCTGCCAAAATCTCTACCGGCCAAAGAGCAACAAGTGGAAACAAAGTTAACATTGTAAGTTTAGTTTTCTCAAATTTAATCTTCCAGTTTATTGGCGGCCAAGAAAAAGTGACCAAAAAGCAAGGGAACCGTAAAAACCGTCAGTAAACAAATCTGTTATAATTAACAAGTTTGATCCTAAATCTTTGTATCTCGGATGTCTGATCCTGTTTTATGCAAGCAAATACCTCCTGGCTCCCGGGACCAAAGGTTAAATGCTGCACACGGTTTGTAAACAGAATCACAAAACGTACACAAGAACAAATCCAACCACCTCCTCTTCAAGTGCACACTGAAATGTGCTCATCTCGTTCACGGCTGCTGCACGCCAAGTGCTGAGGTGGGTACGGTGAGGCAAGCTACTTCTGCAACCAGCAAACCTCGCCAAAACTCCTCCTGAGCCACACCAGCAGCCTTCACCACCTTCTTCAAAAACCTCAGACCTGCGAACCTTCCAGCAGCAGGAGAGCAAGGCAGGGTGAAGGGTCGCTAGAATGCAAAAGGGTGGGGTCCCCGCCCCTCTGCACCCCAAGTGCCCCTGCTCCTGCGAAAAAACTCAGGTGGCAGACCCCAGAGAGTAAAGCAAGGACCTCGGTTCTCTCCCAGGTAGCAGTGGCTACAGCGCGCCCGGGGCCGTCGGACGCGCGACCCCAAGGTCAGCAGAGTCGCGCACCAGTTCCAGAGGCTCGCGGGCGGCGGGGGAGGAGAGTGAGGTCCGTACGGCTCACCCAGCAGGCTCAGGACGACGAGCGCTGGAAGCCAGCCGCGAGGAAAACCTACCTAGTCCTTGGAAATTAAAAGGCCGAACCGCAACGAGTCGGAAGTGACGTGCCAGCTGATGCCCCTGGTCCGCCACGTAATTGGCCGCCGCCTCAAATAGCCACCCTCGCCCGGACCGACCTGAAGACAGGGAAAGTGGCTGAAAGCCCACAGCCCGCCACTGCGCGGCCCCGGCGCCGCCAGCTCCCGGGGGCCTCGGAGCCCGGCCCTCGCCGCGACCCTCAGCCTCGCGGCCCGGCGCCCCGCGAAAAGCGGGCTCTGGCGCTGCCGCGCGCATGCGCGGCCCGCGGTCCCCGGAGGAGTCCTCGAGTCACCTGGACGCCGGCGCCTCGGCCGCCTGCCACCGCGGGCCCTTCCTCGGGCTCGGCTCCGGCCGCTCTCAGCCCTCGCCTCCTCCGCGGCCCCCGCCAGCCCCCGCCGACGCCCGGCTCCCTCAGACTCGGCGCGCGACGCGGCTTCCGCTTCCGGCGAGCATTGTGTGTCGCGCCGCGGGGCGGGGGCGCGGGGCGGAGGCAGGAGGAGGAGGCAGCGCTCCGGCGGCTCCCGCACCCGCGGCCGGGAAGGTAGGTGCCGCCCCGCCGCCTGCCCCGCGGCCGGCTCCGCACGCCGTGTCCCCGCGCCCGCGACTGCGTCAGCGGCCCCCGCACGTAACCACGGCGCCTCCGCCCGCCGGGCCCGCGCGGACGTTTGCCGCCCCGGCGACGTCAGCGCGTCCGGCGTTGCTTGGCTACCCCGCCGGTCCGGTCCCGCGCCGCGAGTTGCACGGGTGAGACCGACGCCCGCATGACGGGCTCGGCCGCCTCCTGCCTTGTCCCCTCGCCTGGACACCGTCCCTCCCTCCAGCCGCCGCGACGCGTCCACGATCCCCTCGCATCCCCCTGCCTCAGCTGTGGCGGGAGAAGACGGACTCGGGTGGGACAGTTGCGGACCACGCTCAGGAGAGGGCCGCAAGGTGGAACCTGAACAGTGATAGAAACAAAATGAGGACGTCCCCGAAGTTCGCCCTTCTACTGAGACGGGAACCGAGGGAGAGGAAGGACGACCCAGAGACACCCCAGGCCTAAACTCGGCTGCCTTCCCCATTTCTCAACCCCCAAGTCCGCTCCCTTCTTCACTAAAGCTCCCCATCTCTCTCTCACCACCTCCTTGCCAGTCCAGTCCCTCCTGGTCCCTAAGTGTGCACACTATTGAGATCATCCGGGCGAGAAGGCCACCAAAGTCTAGAAGACTGGCAAAGGCGCAGAATCGCCAGTCAGAGCTGGATTCTAATGGGTAGAGGCAAATTAGCCGACCGAACTTCTCTCCTGATACTGAGGGGAAAAACTCAGGCCAAAATGATTTCCCACTTCCTACTCCAAATTAAACACTTTCATATGTGCCATCAATGTACAGGAGTAATCATCGTTAACCCAACTCATTGTGTGGCCAGTTCTCCATCAGTACCAACCTTCCTTTGGTCCAGTCCCCTTGGCAGGGGAGTGGAAGGGAGTATGGGCATAGAGAAATCGACTTATTCATGGATAAAAGTTTTGATGCTTTCAGGATGGAGTGGGGAGACCAACCTTCTCTTTTATAAATCAGTCCGATATATGTCAAAGTTTAAGGCTTCACCTGAGGGAGATTTGAGTGCCTGTTTTAATTCCGAACCACTCCCGAGTCTGTTAGTTGGTATGTCCAAAGGAATTAGTTTTCAATGTCTATTTTGAAAGACTAGTCACTGCTTAATATTTACAATAAAAGACTTGTCCACACACTCTTCAAAAGTTCATTGCCGGGGGCAGGGGATGTAGCTCAGTGGTTGTGTTGCCTGCCTGGCAGGTGTGAGCCCCTGAGTTTGATTCTCGGTACCGAAAAAGAATCATTGTCCATAAAGTAGGCTCAGTAGTGTGCTCTTTAGAATCGCTGTGTGTTTGTCAGTGTTCAGCAATTCCAGATGTACACCAGAAGAAATGAGACATGTGAAACATTTCAGATTTTCCTGAAAAGAGATTGTTACCGCTGCTTAACTCATTGAATTTATTTACCCTTTGAAAAAAAGGAATAGCAGAGAATCAAGTTTAGGTTCTAATGGACTGTTATAATTAATCTCTTCTGTGACATTAAACTTTAAAATACATCCAACTTAAGAAATCTTCACACTTTGCTTTACATGGTACTTCTCACTTCCTACACTCCATTTATTATTTTTAAAAATATCAAAGTAGGATACAGTGGTTTAGAACTACTGGATCTAAGACAGAAGTTAAATGAGCTTGGGCCAGGGTAAGTATCTAGGCTAGCGTTAAAGGAAGCCTGTGTTTCTAATAAGAGCGAGCAGAAGTAAAACAAAGATTGAAGGCTGTGTGTCAGTTTACTGAAGAGAACAAAGGGGGTTGATGGTAGGAAGTCACAAATTTGGAAAATGGAGACAGATAAGAATCTAGTAGGAGAAAAGATGGAAAATAGCAAGTTGGGCTAGATGTGGAGTTAATCTCTAACATGGGAGCAAATGTCAGGCCAAAGACACAAAAGAAAAAAAAAATTCAACCTTCAACTAATATTTCTTTCTCTGTCTCCTTCTCCACCCTCAAGTTAAATAATGGAAGAGACAAGTCTGTTAGAGGCGGGGGCCTCTGCGGCCTCCACAGCTGCGGCTCTGGAGAACTTACAAGTGGAGGCCAGCTGCTCCGTGTGCCTGGAGTATCTGAAGGAGCCGGTCATCATTGAGTGTGGACATAACTTCTGCAAAGCTTGCATCACTCGCTGGTGGGAGGACCTAGAGAGGGACTTCCCCTGTCCTGTCTGTCGGAAGACATCCCGCTATCGCAGTCTCCGGCCCAATAGGCAACTGGGCAGTATGGTAGAAATTGCCAAGCAACTCCAGGCTGTCAAGAGGAAGATTCGGGATGAGAGCCTCTGCCCCCAGCACCAGGAGGCTCTCGGCCTCTTCTGCTATGAGGACCAGGAAGCTGTGTGTTTGATATGTGCCATTTCCCACACCCACCGGGCCCACACTGTCGTGCCACTGGATGATGCGACACAGGAATACAAGGTGGGCAGCCAGACAGATGATGCCAATGTGGGGAAGGAGGGAGGAGCAGCAGAGTTTGGCACGCTTCCTGGGTTAAGTTCCCAAGGGCAAGACCGTCTGGTCCTCACTCTAGTTCCAGAGCTGCATATACGGGATACGCAGTACAGCTGATCAGTTTTCCTCTACATAGAGAACAGTGAGGGGAGCACACCAGAATTTTTGCAACACATTTAAATCTTATAGGTGAATATTGGTATGTGTGGTCTTGGAATATATCATATGTTTCATGAATGAATGAATCCATATGGAGAAGATCAAACTTAGGAAGAACTGAAAAGATTTGGGGTTTTTCATTTGATCTCCCTGCTAGAGATACTCCTTGTTTTCCCACTGGTACTATGTTGGAGCAGGTGACATCACTTCAGACTGTTCCCGCTAGACCAAGCTGGATCGGTTTGTCGCTTGCATCTTCCTCAAATAATAGGTAATGTGGCATCTGCCTTAACTTACCACTGGGACACAGTGTAAATGCCTGAGTAATAGAAACTGGAGATTTTGGTGTCTTAGCACTGTGTCGTTTATTTTGTTTAACTGTGTTAACAAAATCTTGAGGTCAATTTATGGTGTAAAGAATCAAGTTTTAATTTTATTTATAAGTGGTGGGAGTTGAATGTGAGGTCAGGTTTAAAGAAGGGAATAATATAAGGGTACAAAAAGTAGCTTTGGGCTGGAGATGTGGCTCAGAGGAAGAGCACATGCTTCACATGAACAAGTATATGGGTTCAATCCCTAGCACCACCACCAAAAAATGGTTGTGGGGAGCTTTGACAGTTGTCCATAAGAAATGAGTAAAGTTGAGGGCCGGGGATTTAGCTCAGTGGTTTTGCAGCCAGCTGCACAAGCACAAGGACCCGAGTTCGGTCCCTGGTACCAAAAAAAAAAAAAAAGAAATGAGCAAAGTTGGGAAAGGACACAGAATTGGTAGCAGCACAAAAACTATCAGATTCAAGAGGAGGAAAGTCGCTAAGCAGGGGGGCTGGTGGTGGAGAGGAGGAAGTCCACATCTCAGATTACTGGCATGGAAGGGGTTGGGTCACGAGGCAGTGAGCTGGGTAGGATGGAAACCAATGGTTCAAAACAGTGAAGTTGGAGCCGAAGTTCAGTGGTAGAGCACCTGCCTGGCATGCCTGGGTTTAATCCCCAGCACCACAAAATGATAATAAAACAAAAGGTCAACCTCTAAGCAACAAATTTACCACCCAGCCCACATGTCACCTCTCCACTTCCCTGCTACCTCAGGAGAAACTGCAGAAGTGCCTGGAGCCGCTGGAGCAGAAGCTTCAGGAAATCACCCGTTGCAAGTCCTCGGAAGAGAAGAAGCCTGGGGAGCTCAAGGTAAAGGCAGGTGATCCCATTCAGTCTGCTCTGCAGGGTGTTTGCCTGTGAGGGAATCAACCCCACTTTATTTTATCCACCAATTTAATGAATACAGTTCTGGTTTATTAGAAAAATAGCGTTCTTTCAAAAGTGATGACATTGTATTAGGCTTGGTTGTCATTAAATTCTGTACCTAAATTACTTGTCATGAATTAAGGATTGTGGATAAGAACGTTAAGGGAACAGATAAAATATTTTACATCTGGTGAGTTGAGGGAGCTCTTGCCCCTTGGTCTCTGCTAGAATGCAAAGATAGTCCAAAGACGGTGCACACCTGTAATCCTGGCACTCGGGAGACTTAGGCAGAAGGATTGCCACAAGTTCAAGGCCAGCATGGGCTACATAGTGAGTTCAAGGCCAGCCTGAACTACATAGCAAGACCCTGTTTCAAAAAAATAAAAATAAGGATAGAAGTTTCTTAGAGGGATTAAGAAGAGAATTATCTAGAAAGTTCACAAAGAAGAATCAGGTTGGGGACTCACCAAGAGCTTAGAGAACTGCCCAGTAATGTTAGGGCCACATTCCCATCCCTGTCCTCCACCTATAGAATCTATTTTTCACCTGGGATCCATCCTGAGATAAAGGTTCCTTCTTGTGCAATCTTTCCTGGCCCTTTAGAAATTAACTTTCTTAAATTTCATTAAATTTTACATCCTTTTCATAACATTACCTTATTTGTAGCATGGTATTTGAGTATTACATTATTTTTTCTATTTGACAGTGAAAATCATTAGTAGTGGTAGTAGCAAAAATAATAACTAGTATTGAGTTCTGTGCATTAATTTATGGGGTGTCCATGACATTCCAAATTGTCAAGGTTGTACTAAGTCTTAGGGTTCTGCCCAGGTTGGAGGTCTAAGAGTTCAGGCCAGACTTGGGACAAGTGGGCCATAGAGAAGCTGCAAGACAAGGAGAAGACCCTGAGGCCACCTCTGATGCGGGTAGACTTAGATTCTCTGTAAGGTAGGTATTACCGCCCCACACAAAGAAACAGGACTTGGCTAAGTGTCTGGCCAAAGACCCATACACCCAGAAAGTGGCAAAACCAAGGGCACCAGTTCCTCATGCGTCAGCAGATATCTGTTCAGCTCCAGGAGTAGGCCGAACTCTGCACTTGACACTGGAGAACCATAGCGAGCATAGATACAGTCCCTGTCCTCTTTGAGTTTAAAGTCAGATGGAGAAAATAGGTAAGGACATGGCACAAAAAGCACAGCTGCAAATTCATGGACAGCACAGAAACCTGACCTTGTTAAAGGCCTCCAGAAGTAGTGAGTGTTGGGAGTTGGCACTCAAGAAATTAGACATGAAAAATAAATTAAATATGGTTTTAAAGTAGAAATACTAATATTTATTAAAATAAAAGGCAATATTTCAACAGAAAGCAAGTACAGTATTATCATTTTAGTGCTTTATTTTACCAAAGCAAACATTTGAATTTTAAAATGTGACCTAACTTTCAGCACAAAGATAAGGTTTTCTATTTTTTTTATTTATTTATTTTTGTTACCAGGGATCAAACTCAGGACCTTACGCTTAGGAGGCTGGAGCAGTGCCACTGAGCTAAATCCCCGGCCTGAGATAAGCTTTTTTAAACAAAAGTTCATTGTCCTTTTGGAGGGCACCTGAGAAATTAAAAGCATGTAAAAATGGAGCTTATTTCCAGTCATTGATTTTCCTTTTTCTATTGATCGCTTTCTAGAAGGTAAAGTGTAGAAAGGGAAGCTGGGCATGGTGGCACCCACCTATAATCCTAGCACTCAGGAGACGGAGGCAGGAGGACCACTGAGTTTGAGGCCAGCCTGAACTACTAGGGAGACCTTATCTCAAAAAAAAAAAAAAAGACGAAACAAAAGTATAGAAAGGGAGGGGCAGGGATTTAGCTCAGTGGTTTCACTGCCTGCTGTGCAAGCGCAAGGACCGGAGTTCGATCCCCTGGACCGAAAAAAAAAAAAAAAAGAAAGGGAGATAAAATCTTCTAAAAGCTTACCAGCTATCATTTTTTTATTATAAGTTATTTCAGTTGTCTCTGAAACTGTGACACAAAACATTCCTTTTGTAACCATTTGATTTCTTCTTTGTCCCTCGCCCTGATCCTACCTCCGGAATCAGATTCAGCGCCCCCTTTAAAAACAGCTTGCAGGGGCTGGAGGTGCAGCTCAGTATCAGAGCACTTGCATAGTATGACTTTTCAGCCCTAGCACAGAAAAAAATAAAAATTGTAATTAACTATGCCAAAGTGAAAATTATGGATAAAATAACCTACATAATTTTAAAGAGTCTAGCATGACCACCAGATATTACCATAGAAGTAATTTATACCAAAATTTGATGTAAAAGTATTGGGCCATTACTGCCCCAAAAGACTACAGTGTAGTTATAGGCTTATCCCTACCTAAATGTGACATAATCAACAATGCAATAGATAAAGTGTTCAGACAAAGGTTGATGTGTCATAGTGTGACTCACACAGCGCAAGCAGCTTAGTTCTTAGTGACATGATTTTTCAAAATAATAACTTCCTGTAAAGTTTTAAGAAAACACAGTTTTAATTCTTTTTTTTTTTTTTTTTTTTTTTTGGTACAGGGGATCAAACTTGGGTCCTTGAGCTTCCACAGCAGGCGGCACAACCACTGAGCTAAATCCCTGGCCCAAGAAAACACAATTTTAATGAGTTTTATTTAGCCTTTCTAGGAGTTTTTATAAATCTATAAATCATGTAAGAATTCCTCTGTCCTTATATACAAAGTTGCCTTGAAGTCCAGACTTATATTTTTAATATCTATCAGAATATGATGCAGGACAGTTCGTCATGCAGGATTGTCTCACTTTACAAGTGCTGGCACCCCTGACGTAGCAGACAGAAAGTACCCTGATGTCTCATCTGTCTTCAGAGGTACAGACCCTAATTTAGAACCACTCCACTGCTGCAGCCTGCCCTGAAATCGCAAGGTCCTGAGTTTGATCCTCAGTACCAGAAAACAAACAAAAGAAAGAACCACTCTCCACAAATGTAGAGTGAAGAAAGAGAAGAGAGTGTGGGTTTGTAAGAAGGAGGCTTATTGTTTCCCATTTGGCACTGTTATGAGTCCTCAAGCACCTATGCACGGGCCAGGGATGTAGCTCAGTGGTGCCACGCCTGCCTGGCAAGCACAGAGTCCTGAGTTTGATCCCTAGTACTAGAAAAAGAGAGAGTTGAGGAAATACCTGTACATCACCCATAAACACGCTGGTGCACACACACACACACACATACAGGTTGTATTTCACGTCAGGGCAAATGTGTGCACCTGGAAACTAGCTTGAAATCCAGAGATGCTGGGCTTGATCAAGGGTAAGCATATTAAAGGTGTTGGTGCACATCTGTAATCCCAGCACTTGGGAGGCTGAGACAGGAAGTTAACAAATTCAGGCCCAGCCTGAGCGACTTAGACCCTGTCTCAAAATTTTAAAAAACTATTAAAAAGGGCTGAGGGTGCAGCTCATTGCAAAAGCCCTGGGTTCAATCCCCAGTCCACCACCAAACACAAAGCACATTAGAGGTTTAAGTCCATGTGCTGGCATAGGCAAAGTGTGTTTCAAATTTCAAACAGCTAATTTATTAACAAACTTTCAGAACTTGTTACTGGAATGGGAACTGCCAATTCTTTGAAGTGACTTGAAACTATTTAACAGATTTGGCCCTTCAATCTACATACATTGTAACAACCCGTTACACTCTTACTGATTCTGATAGGACTCTAGCTCTCTGGTTTTTATCAGTTTCTATTCTTATGCAAATGACACTCTTGTCTTTAACTTTTCTAGTATTTGTACTTTTTCTTAACAGATTGCATAAGTTACACTGTGGGGTTGGGAATAGCAGAAATACCTCTGTAATAGTAGCTGTCATATTAGTGAGTTCTTATTTCTTCAATATATTGTATTAAACCTTTTGAGAACTTAATTTCCTGAAGAAAAAGGCTGATTTTTTTTTTCCATGTTCTTTCTCCCCAGGCTGTCCCGGGCTGATGGGGGTGGTGGCGTCTTCACGGAGAGGCTTGGGAGAGGCTTCCAGTGGGGAAGAGCGAGGGGCCTGGCGGACTGTGCCCAGGGGCGTGGAAGTCTGTGGGCCTCGCATGGCCTCCCTGCCGACCTAACCCAAGCCCTCCTCTTTCCTCAGAGGCTTGTGGAAAGTCGCCGGCAGCAGATTTTAAAGGAGTTTGAAGAGCTTCATAGACGGCTGGATGAAGAGCAGCAGATTTTGCTCTCACGACTGGAGGAGGAGGAGCAGGACATCCTACAGCGACTCCGAGAAAATGCCGCTCACCTCGGGGACAAGCGCCGGGACCTGGCCCACCTCGCTGCCGAGGTGGAGGGCAAGTGCCTTCAGTCGGGCTTCGAGATGCTTAAGGTTCGCCCTTGGCCCCTGCATAGCCCCTCGGGTCGCGCATGCGCAGTGTAGCTTTGCCCAGGGCGGCCGCTCAGCCTCCCGCTTTGCTTCCCGGAGTACAGCTCTTCCAGACAGACGCAGAGGATCTTTTTCTACAGAAAGGTTTCTCTGGTTTCTCCCATGCCCTTCTAATCATTTTTGTGTTACTGTCTTGTCAACAATTATGTTGTACCAAAGGAATTTGTACCAAAAGAAAAATGGACTCCTTTGAGAGAAGTCGTCTGATCTGCTTAGTGTAAGCTGCATTCTAATTGTGTAAATGCAGTTACCATTACTTTTCAGTTCTAGAGCTTGATTTTTCTAGTGCTAAAAAAGAGGACTTTAAAGGACATTTGCAGTTATGTGTAAATAACACTGTGTTTGTTCATCAGTGATGCCGCTAGGGTGTGGGGTTCTCCCAAGCAGATTCCTGATGTTAGCAAGCCGCAGAGAACAGTCTCTTAGCGCAGAGACCAGAGCACCAGCAGTGGAGCCAGAGAGGCTTCATTGTGCATTCGCATGTCATGTATTGCTTGGTGTTTATTCCTTTGTCCTTTTGTGTCTGTGTGTTCTGCTGTTCACATTAAACTGGGAAATCCGCGCAGGGCAGAGATTTGTCTTCTTTGTCTTCTGAACCCCAAGTATTCCCAAACCAGGATTGGCACACATTTATGTTTACTAACCAGTGCCCCACAGGGGCTACCAAACCACAGTGGGAAAGTTCGGTTTGTTCCTGTACTGCCAGTCTAGCATTATCCGTGCTGATCCTCGAGGAGACTGGGATGTGTGGTTGGTACTTGGGGGCAGAGCGAAGAGCAGACACAATTCCTGTCCCTTGCGAGAAGGTCCTGGTACCCTTAAGAAGCACAGACAAACATACAAGGAACCGTTGGGACAAGATATAAATCACAAAGCTTCGTGAGGGCTGACAGTGGAAAGTGAGGGTTAGGTTAAAAGAAATGCACTCAGGTCCCTCTGGATCTCCTGTCGCACTGTGACTCCGTTTGCCCTGTGCCTATTTTATAGACCTAGAACTTTTGGGAGGAAGGGGAACCTTTTGCCTTCAGGACCCTTGAATACCAGGACCAATCTTTCTTTTTTTCTCATTCCTCTAGGATGTCAAAAGTACCCTGGAAAAGTAAGTGATTCTTGTATCTCTTTGAGTAAATTAGGCCTTGGCTTAGAGGCTAGGGAATCCAGTCCTGAGTTGGTGGGAGTTAGGATTGCGAAGTCAGCCAGTGTCTTGGTAGGTTATAGAAAAAGGCCCTTTGCGCCCGGGTTCAGCTCAGTGGTTCCACCGCCTGCCTCGCAAGTGCAAGGACCTGAGTTCAATCCCTGGTACCACAAAAGAAAAAGAAAAAGGCCCTTTTACCCCTGAAGCCAGATAGAGAACAAATCATTAGGAGTAATCATTCCTTATGTTTTTCCCCTCAAACATCAAGACTTGGTTGGGAAGGAGAATGATGTAGTAGAACCAGAGTCTGTTTGTCCCTGTGGATAAACTGTATCCTAACAAGATAGAGAGGCAGGGGTTGAGAGGGGGATTATCCATTTGCATGGAAGATAAGAATCCCCCCAGAAAGTCCTGAGGCTCATTTTCAAGATAGAGGTCTGCCTAGCCCTGTAACTTTCACAGACAATGAAAGAAAGCAATTCTCCTGGGAGGAAGTGGGAAGTGGACAGTTTCGGTTTCTCCCTAAAGATCAACCATCTGAATACTCACTTGGCTGGACTCCCCTGACCCTGCCCTTTCTTCCCCACCTCCTTATCCCTCCTAGATGTGAGAAGGTGAAGACCATGGAGGTGACGTCAGTGTCCATAGAGCTGGAAAAGAACTTCAGCAGTTTCCCCCGACAGTACTTTGCCCTAAGGAAAATTCTTAAACAGCTAATTGGTGAGTTGTTCCCAGAAGAAAACTAGTAGAAGGAATCAGCAAGGAGAAGAAACCCCTTAGATCTACCCGACATAGGTTCCGGCTGTTTTGTGCCCACATCCACTGCTGCCCCTGCCTGCCTTCAGTCTCATCCTGAGCCCCAGAGCTCAGAATGCGACGAGGCCTCACATGTTCCCTCCTCTTGGGTCCACACTCTCCTAAATCTGCACACAGAAAGGGAAAGTGATTTACCCGAGTCGTCCTGTGGACTGACTGTAGAAGCTACCTTCTCAGCTGGGACCAGCTTGAGGGAGAAAGGGAGTTTCACTAACATTTATAAAGGGAAAATACTCATACTCCAGGGTGATTCCAAGGAGACTGGCACGTCCTCGCCCTGGCCCGAGACCTTAATGCTGATTTGCTCCAGATCCTTCTACTTTTATTTTTTCCAGCCCTCAGACAATGCCTTATACTTCTCCATCCAATGACGTAAATGGTAGTGTCAGATGGGGAGGAGGTAGAAGCAGAAACAGGACTACCAGCCCTGCAGAGTCCAGAGATCGTTGTTTATTGTAGGGTCAGTGGGAAGCATAGCCATCATTGCTCCCCTTAACCAACCCACCCCTGTGTTCTGGGACCTTGAAGAAACCAGGCTCTGAAGGCAAGCTGGAAAGGTGAGGCAGGGGCTTTAGCTATTCCCGTCCTCATCTAGCTCCCCACTCTGGCTTCTCCCGCCAGCGGATGTGACCCTGGACCCTGAGACCGCCCATCCTAACCTAGTCCTGTCAGAGGATCGTAAGAGTGTCAAGTTTGTGGAGACCAGACTCCGAGATCTTCCCGACACGCCACGCCGTTTCACCTTCTACCCTTGTGTCCTAGCTACTGAAGGCTTCACCTCAGGCCGACACTACTGGGAGGTGGAAGTGGGTGACAAGACCCACTGGGCAGTGGGTGTGTGCCGGGACTCTGTGAGTCGGAAGGGTGAACTGACTCCACTTCCTGAGACTGGCTACTGGCGGGTGCGGCTGTGGAACGGGGACAAATACGCAGCCACCACAACACCTTTCACCCCTTTGCACATCAAGGTGAAGCCCAAGCGAGTGGGCATATTTCTAGACTATGAGGCTGGCACACTGTCTTTCTATAACGTCACAGACCGCTCACACATCTACACATTCACTGATACTTTCACTGAGAAACTTTGGCCCCTCTTCTATCCAGGTATCAGGGCGGGTCGGAAGAATGCTGCGCCACTGACCATCAGGCCGCCCACAGACTGGGAGTGACAGGGTGGGACGTGGGATCCACTGGGGTAAGGCAGCGTCAAGAGCTGTGGGCTGTGTCCTGCTGGAACGTCTGGGGTCCGCCTGGCTCCAGTCCTGAGTCCTCTTGGAGAAACGCTCTGCTCTCTAGGATGCTTTCTGTGGAGAAGTACGTAGGACTGGGCTGCATGACAGAGCACCGCTGTATCTCCCTCCTTGCTGTCAGAGTGGGGAGCTGGTCCCCAGAGGAGGATCTCTCCACTGCCCATCAGGTTTTCTAATTGCACAAGGACAGGTTGGGAAGGCAGGAGAAGCTTTTCCAGAAACAGAAAGTCTATGGGAGGGTCTCATTTTGCTGAGACCAGAGGAGGAAGCAAGCCTCATTAGGGGCTTCTTTGACCCAGAATGATTTTGTCTCTTGAGGAAAACTGCAGGGGTCTCAGCACCTCAAGATGGAAAAAGGATAAATGAAAGTTGCTGTCCTGGGTCTAGAAGTTGACTTTGTGCATCATGAAGGTTAGAAGATTAGGGAAGAGAGCTAAAGGAACAGATTTATAGAAACTGATGAAGGGAAGGAGGTTTCTTTAGCCTTCTGTTCCCAGGGTAAGTTGCTGTAATGAGTAGAATTGGCCGGAGGTAAGAATGTGGGGAAAGGGGAGAGTAGAAGTGAAGAACCAGGCCTTAGCCTTTAGCGGAGCTGGCTCATCCTCTGCCTCCTCACAGCTGTCTCCAAGAGACAGCTTTGCTCCTCTCAGAGGTGAGGTGGGAGAGACCCTGCAAGACACACCCACTACCCACTGATCTCCCAAGGGAGCTTAAAAAGAGTCAGGTATCAGAGGAAAGAGAAAGGTTTATCTACCTGAAGTTCTGGCCTTAAAAATTGTTACCCAGTCACTGCTGTCAATTGTCAGCTTTGTCACCTGGCTCAGGTGTCCATTTCAGAGGGGAAGAAAGGTATGGAGTCTTTCTCACCCGAGGACAGGGTAGAAGAGGGTGATGCATGTTGGGAAGGGCCAGACAGGCAACTTACTTTTGCCTGTGTTTCTGACCTGGAACTAATGTTCACAACAGCCTTTCACGTGTGTATCACCATCCTTCACTCTTTGCTATCTCCCCTTTCAGAGAATGTATGTCATTTTAACTTTAGGCCAAAACAAACTGTAAAGTACATATGTTGTCAAGGTAAAGCAATGCATGCCAAACCAAACTAAAACAACCTGGATTGTCTGCTGCTTGGGTAAGCTTCACCGAAGACGGACAGGAAACTGCAGTGAACTGCAGGCATTTTGGTTCCTCCTACCACCTCAACAGGACTGTGTCCTCTCCTCCTCTAACCTTTGTGCCTTGACTGTGGTTCTTTGTGGCAGGAGACTTTGGCTGGTAAAAGTAATATGCAGCAAAGGATCCACTGAAGTGACCTCTGTGTCGTGTGGTAATTTGTTGATGATCGTCCTTATGTTGATGTATGGAATCACTGGGTGTAAAAATACATGTTCCTGGGTCTCGCCTCTACTTGATCCAGATCTGGGTTGACCAGCAAGTCCTAGTTGAGTGTGAGGACCTTTGTGAAACTTGACCTGGAGGTTTCTGCTCATTTCCTTCCTTAGAGCTTAAGGCCTGGTTCTCTGCCCAGCCTGGCAGGGTTCTGAGTGGGGAGGTCACTCCCTCTTTGGACTTAAACTGCCCTGTCTGTCTCAGGGTTTAGTCATATTCTACCCCTCCAGCTTGCATCCCTCTGCTTCCGACCTCAGAGACTGCTAGTCATTAACAGAATTAGACAACTTGCTAGACAGAAGAAACGGGAAAACGAGGTAGAAGGAGCAAGTGTGGTGTGGACATTTGTGCAGTGGGCTGCAGTAGGGAGCAGGGGTTGCTGCTGATGGGTTTCAGTGCTGTACCTAAGACTAGGAGTTGGAAGCTGTTCACTTAGCAGAGTGAGGGCTTTCCTGCTGTGTATTCAGCACTGTAACAGTGTCTCTGGTAAGTGGAAAAGTGGGAGTGAGCTGCACTTTGTGACTGACAAGCCTCCCTCTACCACTCTCAAGGTTTTTCACCCTCAGGAGCAGCAGTGCTTTTGTGTTTTGTTTCTTTTATTGTATACCGACTGTTCTTTCGGTCTGTAAATCTTGAGGCACCTGCCTTTGGTGTCAGGAGAACAGGGCGGAAGGTCTACCTGATTGTCAAGTAACCCGCTCCCCAACCGATCTGATTAAAGAAAGCAGACTTTTCCTGAGGATATTTAGCCGTTTTAAGATCCATTCCTCCACTAGCCTCTCGCTTTTATGTAGTTTATATGATCATGGATTTGAGGGCTGTAGGAAGAAATCCAAAACTCATAAATGTGCCCTGGAGAGGAGTTTACAAGCAGGCGTGGGCGAGGCCAAGGGCCCAGGCACTACACTTCCCAGGGGCTCTTTGCGGGCCCAGATACTACACTTCCCAGGAGGCCTTTGCGGGCCGGGGGCGTGGCCTTCGAGGGCAGGGCCGGCGGCGCCATGGCAGGCCAGGTGAAGGACCGTGAGGCTTTCCAGAGGCTCAGCTTCTTGTACCAGGTGAGCTCGTGGGCGCGACTCGGGGAAGGGAGACTGGTGCAGCCGGCCCCTGAGTGACCGCTTCCCACCCCCAGGCCGCCCACTGTGTCCTCGCCCAGGACCCCGAGAACCAGGCGCTGGCGAGGTTTTACTGCCACACGGAGAAGACCATAGCAAAGCGACTCGTGCTGCGACAGTGAGGCTGGCGGGGCGGGGCTCGGCTCGGCTCGGCTCCGCTCCGCTCCGACTGCCCTGACCCCTCTCTCCCCAGGGACCCCTCGGTGAAGAGGACGTTGTGTCGCGGCTGCTCCTCCCTTCTTATCCCGGGCCTCACCTGCACCCAGCGCCAGAGACGTGAGTACCCCGCGGAGGAGTAGGTGCGGGGGTGGGAGGCAGCGACGCCCCCCGGGCCAGGTGCTGGAGGCTTTGGCTTTGCAGGGGCCGGCGTTTCCAGGTCTGCTTTAAGCACTGCACAAACTCAGGTGTGGGTTTGGCCTTTGCTCCTTCTCTGGGCGATAGGAAAATGATGTTGCTGTAAGCAGGAACCTCTCCCGTGCAAAGACAGTGTGGTATCGCATAGGGTGTGGTGCCCAACGCCATTCATTCATTCATTCATTCACGCAAGAAATATCTTCTACAATGTGTCAAGTGCTAGATTCGTCATTCTTACTGAAAGTACACCCAAGAGGACAGACTAAGATAAAAACAGAATGGCGGAGAAAAACGGTTTAACCGTGGAAGTGGGATGGTGAGTTTCTCGAGAGAGTGGTGGTGAGGTTCATGATAAACAAGGGGAGTGAGCAAAGGGATTCTGGGCGTAGCCAAGCCTTGCCAGCCGAGCACTTGTGCTGTCCAGGAAATGAGAGCTCAGCAGGCTGGAATTGGAGGTGGCCAGGAGGTGGAAATGAGGCTGCAGAGGGAGCAGGCCAGATCTTAGGAAGTCTTATTGAGGAGTCTGAACTTGATCTTTGAACTCAGGAGCTCACGCTTGCAAAGCAGCCAAGGTGCCACTGAGCTAAATCCCTAGCACGGACTTCATTTTTAAAGAGTTCCCGAGAATTGATGGAGTTTATCCAGGGGCCAGACACCATGAAATTTGGCTTCAAAGTGGGTGCAGGGGGATATTGTTACTGAGAAACAGAGCAAAGCCTAGTGCAAAAAACTTTTTCTTCTCATAAGCCTGACATTCTTTCCATTTCTCCCACTTTTACCCCAGGCCGCCGGGGCCAGCGCTGGACAGTACAGACCTGCCTGACATGCCAGCGCAGCCAGCGCTTCCTCAATGATCCTAGGCATCTGCTCTGGGGGGACCGACCTGAGGCGCAGCTGGGGAGCCAAGCAGGTGAGAGATTGTGGAGAACATGGAGGCTACACCAGGGGACAGGGATAGTGGGGGACAGAGAGCCGAAGGGGACACATAGGCAGGCTTTGGTGGGTATGAAGGGTGCCACAGTCTTAGAAAACTAATTCTGTTCATCTAATTCTGCTCATCTAACCAGATTCCAAACCACAGCCTCTGCCAAACACAGCCCCCCTCATTCCAGCCCACCTTCCTAAGGAGAGAGTGCAGCCGCAGACTCCCGTCACCGGCAGTGAATTTATCCTGTCTTCCAGATAAATAAAATTTAACTGTTTCACTTTGCTGGATGTTGTTCTGGGGGTATTCCACTCTTAATTCCATTTTCCTCTGTTTCTGTGGAATGCTGTCTAACATCTCATTACCAGACAGTTCTATTAAGCAGCTCCCACAAGTAAGGCCACGGCTCCAGTGCCTGGTCACTCCTGCTTCCTCAAAGCAATGCTGTGTTTGGAACTTGAGCTCCAGAGTGTCCTGCAAGTTCTTGAGTCATGTAGGGGCATCACATGTTTAGGTAGCTCAGACTGTTGGCCAAAGGGCAAACAGAACATGGACGCTACTGCTGCTGTGTTTAGACAAGGCAGGAAGGGTGAGGAGGCAGGAGTTTTCACATCTTCTAACAGATTCAATAAGGCAAGAAAAAAATGAAAGGCATCCAGATTGGAAAAGAATGAGTACAATTGTTTTTGTTAAGGAAATTATCCTCTGTGTTGATAATCTTATGACATTTTAAAAAGCTTCTACAACTATTAAGTGGATTTAGTAAGAATGCAAAGGACGCAAGATACAAAAAATATACAAAAGTCAGTTGTATTTTAAATATTAAAATTGGGGCCGGGGATTTAGCTCAGGGGATTTAGTTCAGTGGTTCCATCACCTGCCTCGCAAGCACAAGGTCCCGAGTTTGATCTCTGGTACCAAAAAATAAATAAATACTAAAATTGTTATTTGTGTACACAATTGGAAATTTATATTAAAATCAGTGCTATTTAGCCAGGCATGGTGGCACATGCCTATAATCCCAGAACTCAAGAGGCTGAGGCAGGAGGATCATTGTGAGTTCAAGACCAGCCTATAAATTAATAAAAAAATAAATAAAAAGACCAACCTAGGCTACATAGTGAGTTCAAGGCCAGTCTGAACCACATAGCAAGACCCTGTTTCAACAACCTCACCCCCACCCCCAAAAAAAATCAATGCTATTTACAAAAGTAACCCAAAATACTAAGGGTAAGTCTCACAAAACAATAAAAGGTCTATATGTTAAAAATGGGAAAATACTTCTCTGAGACCCAAATACATTGATACTTCAATTGTCAAACAGCTCCAAGCTTGAACTTTCCACTGTAACAGCAAAGGTTAAAAAAAAAAAATCTGCTCCATGTTTGTAAACTGTGATGGTTGAACTGAAAATCTGACTTGGCTGACAGTAAGTCTGTCACGCATCTCGCCTCACCGCCGACACAAAGGGTTGACACTTCCATGTAAGCACCCCTCTTGCCTGGTCGATGTAGAGCACTTGTGAGAGAGGAGACCACCCCTCCGCATGGAATTGGCCAGCGATGGGTTCATTGTGTTAGTAGACAACTATGGGTTAACTAGGTAACTGTGCTCTCTGTAGAATGCACCTGAGTGGCCATGACAACTTCTATAATCTGTCACCAAAGAGCGTAACAGACTCAGAAGGTCCTGCCAGAACTCTGCTCCCCCTCCTTACTGCTCTGCTTTGTGTAAATCCTGCCTGCTATGTTCCCAGGGAAACGCCAGTGGAGTTAAGCTTTGTAGATGTAAAAAGAGCGATATACAGAAGTGCAAACTTCTATTCGAGACTGACAGAAGTCACTCTCTGAGCCCCTGGCATGTTTAAAAGCCGCTTTTTGCTCTTGTCTTCATGTTAAAGAGTTATCTGTGCCAGGTCTTCACTGTTTCCTGCTTCACTTGTATTAGTGCAGTCAAACATTCCTTGTAGTGCTTTTTTTTTTTTTTTTTTTTTTGGCGCTTTAGCATAAGATATTCTGGCTGTGGCTCCAAAGACAATTAAGGATACCAGCAGTAAAGCTAAGAGGAAAACTGTGAGGACCACAATAGAGTTAAAGAAATCATTGTGAAATTTGCTGAAGTCCAGGGAAATGAATTTATAAGTGTAATTTTGGGGACTCAGAACCAATTATTTGGTTTTCCATTATTTCTTAGGGAAAAATACATTCAATTCTCGAACATTTCACAAATTTGGAATGAATTGAGTTTGACAACCAAGGTATCACTGTAAATGGAGAGATATGTCATGTTCATGAATTGGAGAACAAAATATTTTAAGATGTCTGGTGGCCCAATACAGAGCCAATCCAATACCAGTAAAAATCCTAAGCTTTTTTAGGGTGATTCTGAAAGTCATATACAAATAGTCAAAACAATTGGAGGACTTAAAAGACTTGAATTCGAGACCAATAAAGGTGATAGCAGACAGTATGGTTGTGATACAAAAATAGAGCAATGGAACACAATAGAGCCAGAAATAGATTCACTCAAGTATAGATAACTGAATTTTGGCAAAGGCAATTAAAGGGGTCTTTTCAATACATGGTGGAAAAACAATTAAAAGTAAGCTTCAATCTCACCATCTCCCCTGTGCTCTTCATCAACCTGATCCCTAAGTCTTGGCCCTTCTCCATCCCCTGCCTCTTTTCTGGCTTCCCTCCCAGCCCCATCAGCCTGGAGATGGGTCTGGGTTCTGGTCCAGCTCTAGGAAGGAAAGTCAACCTGGGTCTCCGCTCCTCCCTCCCCCAGGCTCCCACAGCAAAAAGATTTCAGAACCACTGTGTCCCAGCAGTGGATGCCCAAGGTAGAACAGAGGCCGGAGTTTAGTGTCCTGAACAAGCAATGCACCAGACCCATCAAGAGCAGCGTGTGAGGATTTACCCGAGGCACCTGAGGACCCCTCCACACCTATAATGCAGGTGAGGCTGATGAGTGGTGAGGGCACAGCCAGCAAGAATTGCCAGGGACGGTGACATCCACCTGTTGTGCCAAGCGAGCCGATAAATCACCAAACACTGGGACCAACAACAAAGTTAAACTGAAAGGCGTTTATTCACGCGCGTGGACTCCACTCCCTAAGCGAAGTGAAGCCCTGAGTCCAGGAACAGCACAGTTTATATAGGGCGTTATAGCAGCATAGCTTTTATAGGTGTTATTTTAAGAAGAGAAGTCCAAGGGGAGGTTAATTCACAGCTCAGCTATCTTGCTGTCTTGTCAGATTAGGGCAATTTACGGTAAAGGGAGGCACCAGGCACTATCTCTTTCCGAGAAGCGATGAAGCAAGTTTACAGAAGCAGAACAAGCAGTTGGAGGGGCATGAGGGGAGTTCATTTGCCGGCCAAGATGGTGTTTCTTGGGTTTATCCTGGTCTCACACCCCCAGACACACCCTGGTGAACCCACAGTATTTTGATTTTGTTCCAGGTTTATTTTCAAGCCAAGCTGTAAGTGAGCACCTCTGACCAATCGCAGAGTTTCTGCCTGACATGGGAGGGGTGTGGCAGTGTAAATAGGGCTGACCAGATGCCACCCTGCTGTCACAGGCCCTGGGGACCTGACTGGTGCTTCTCTGGCTACAGGCAGTTGGCACAGTGGTGCTGTTCACATCACAGAGACGCGGGACTGCGGTCCTGTGCCCTGGCTGCCGCTGGCACCGTGATAAGCATTCTGTGAGCGATGTGTCCCGAAGGCCTCCCTGGGAGTCTGTGGAGGGGCTCTGCAGACACTTGGCCTGGGAAGGGACAGCTGAGACAAGGCTGGAAAGGATGGCTCTCTGGGAAGCCACTGGCCAGCAGCACGGGAACCAAGCAGTGCAGGAGAGATTGTTTCTCAAGCCCCATCCTCCTGCCCACCCACACAGCCTTTCAGGACCTGACTCTGGGTCGGGACCAGAAGCCTCCTTTTCTCTCTTCAGATGGAGCTTCACGCCGTGGCCCAGTTCACTTGTCGCAGGGCCTGAGCAGGAGTAGATCCTAGCAGACTTCCTTGCATCCAGCTGATGCATGAGTTTTGTGCGCCTTCTCCCCAAGCAAATTGACCTCAGTTCATGGGCAGTCACATGATTTCTGCACAAATGGTGTGTGGGAGGCCAACCAAACTCCCTAAATTATCTCTGACCCTTTCCCTCAGACGACCCCCTCCCCCGCCAAAAAATCACGTGACCAATGACCCCACCTCCAGTGAGGTCACCCTGAGGTGCTGGGGCCTGGGCTTCTACCCTGCCAAGATCTCCGTGACCTGGCAGCGGGATGGGGAGGACCTGACCCAGGACATGGAGCTGGTGGGGACCAGGCCTGCAGGGGACGGGACCTTCCAGATGTGGGCGGCTGTGGTGGTGCCCTCCGAAGAGGAGCAGCATTACACGTGCCGAGTGCAGCACAAGGGGCTGCCTGAGCCCCGCACCCTGACGTGGGGTAGGGGATGGCGCACAGGGCCTCTTTTCAGGGAACGGAGGACGCCCTCAGCAGGGTCGGAGCTCCGCGCTGGGGCAGGGCCTTTCACCTTCTCTCCCTCCTCAGAGTGGCCTCCTCGGCTCACCGTGCCCCCCCCCAAGCCAGCACCTGCCAACTCTGCGGTTCTGACAGCGGCTCTTGCGATCTGCGTGGAGTAGTCTTCATCTGCATCAGAGCGCAGGTAGTGAGCGGAGCCGGGGTTCCTTGTTCTCACTTGAGGGGGTCTCATCCCAGAGGGGCAAGTTTCAGCTTCTACCCTCTCGCTCCTGGGGCCAGTGTGGGGCTCCCTGTGGTGCAGCAAAGTCTGGGGGACCGGGCTGCGAGGAGGGCGGGCTGAGATCTGCAGGCGAAGCAGGGCGGGTGCCAGGGACTTACAGGCAGGAGGGCTCACAGAGGTGGCCTGGGGCCAGGAGCTCGGGGCCCAGCTGGCTCTGGACTCCCGAGGGCAGAGCCTCTGCCACACCTCCAGCAAGCAGGCACCAGCTCACGCGTCACTCCTGAGCCTGGGGCACGGAGCTCCTGAGTCAGGTCTCCTGCTCCTGAGGGCCCTGCAGCAGGGCATACGAGCCCCAAAGGGTCCACGGGCCAGAGAGTGGGCTACTTCTCATGGGACGAGGTTCTCAAGTACTTCTCCCTCAAGGCCTAAATTCCTCATACAATTTTTGTTTTGTTTTGTTTTCTTGAGAGACGGTCTCACTATGCAGTTCAGGCTGGCCTTGAACTCACTATGTAGCCAGGCTGGCCTTGAACGCAAGGTGATCTGTTGGGAGCAATGCTACATAATTTTAGGGAAAAATCATTTGATTAAGCCTGGTTCTCCCGCCTACAGGCCAGCTATGGCACTCCAAGACCTAATTCCATTTTATCCTCCAGTCACAACTGAGACTTCAGTGATCCCCTGATGCTGTGATTCTCCAGGAGAAGACCACACCTGAGGGAGACGCCAGGGAGGACTCAAATCTTCATCTGCTCAGTTCCTCATCGATCTAGGAATTCCGCTCCCTCCCCCCCCCCAGCTTTTTGTTACACCTTGTTTATCCCAATGTGAAGTACTGAACTCTGCATTTTCACTTGTTACATTTGTTTCTCCCCATGTACTGAATAAAAGGTGCTGCAAGCTAGGACTTCTTGTCTTTGCCGCCCAGAGCAGCACTGATCAGACCCAAAGCTCAGCTTCTTCTCAGTCTCATTTGCCTACCTTTCCTGTGATTCGCCTTGTGCTGCCGTGGCTCACAGGAGACCAGGACTCACTGCAGAGGTTCTGGTAACGCCCCCTTCCCCTGTTCCCTACATTTGGCCCCCAATTTGGATGTGAATCAGATCCAGGGGTGAACTCACCTGCGAGACAAACTTGGAGTAAGAGAGACAGCACACGGATCTCCCAGGACGATTTCCGGACTCGGACGAGGGACCCTGGTAGTAAGAGTGTCCAGCTGGGGGTAATTTTCTATCTTTGCTGAGTTACAACTATGGGTCAGTCTTTGTCATCGGAGCAGCGTAACTTTGCCAAATTACTTAAGTCGCTGTTAAAGCAAGCTATGTACCCAGTACCTAAGGATGCTGTGATAGATTTGTTAAAAGACATACAAATGTACGTCCCATCTTTTCCCCAGGAAGGGACAACTAACTTAATAGCATGGGAACGTGTAGGTACCGCTCTCTGTGAGGCCTGGCAAAGGGGTAATTGTCTCTCCCCTGAACGTTCCCCACTTGGCCCTCAGTCCGCTCTGCTCTCAGATTCTCTCAGTCAGTTCAGGAGACCTCGGCTACCCCTCCCCCACCAACCCTTCTGTCCAGGCTTCCGCTTGTTCGGCTTCGTCTCCGGTTTGCTTTCATCTCACTGCGGCTTCTGCTCCACCCCCACAGCTCACTGAGGAAGACCCTAACTCTCTAGCCCCTCAGCCATCTCGCAGAGGTCCAGCTGCCCCTCTTGTGAAGCCCACTTCTGGGGCCACTCCCTCCCTATCGCGGTGCCCTGCAAAAGGCTGTGACATCAGGCAAGGCAGTGGGACACCCTTTGTGCTGTCCTGTCTCAATCTTGCCTGATCCTGACAACTCAGAGGTGGACATGTGTGTTCATGCCTCGTTTGATTTTAACATCCTAAAGGACCTCAGGCAGAGCATGCTAACTAATGGTGTCCAAAGCCCCTGTACAGTGGGCTTGTTGGACAGTGTACTCCAGACTTAATTCTCTGGTTCCTCATGATGTTTTTCACCTTGTGAAAACATGCCTGTCCCCCGGTCAGTATCTCCACTTTGAGGTGGAAATGCACTCTTTAATCAGAGAAGAGGCTCATAAAAATGCTCAGGGAGATGCTCAGTCGAGAGAAGTTACTATCAATATGTTATCGGGCATGGGTGACTTTTCGGATTTAAGCAGGCAGGCCTGTTGCCCAGCGTTACTCTTCCACCAGCTAGAGGACCTCCTGCGGAGGGCTTGGGCTTCTGTGCCAGTTGAGGGTGCACCGACACAATCTTGTACTCACATCATGCAAGGGCCAGTGGAAACTTACACAGAATTTGTAGTGAGATTACAACAAAGTATTAGGAGACAGATTTCTAATTCCCAGGCAGCAGACATGCTGATTTTACAGCTAGCCTGTGAAAATGCTAGTATGGATTGCAAATAGGCAATAAATCCTGTTCACTCCTCTAAAGATCTTGGAGCATATACTAAGGCATGCCAGAATATTGGGTCTCCTTTATACAGTTTGGCTCTGATGGCTCAAGCCAACTCCCAAGATTGCTTGGTTTTTTTTTTTTTTTTTTTTGGTTCCGAGGATGAAACTCAGGTCCTTGTACTTGTGCAGCAGGCAGCAAAACCACTGAGCTAAATCCCCGGCCCAACTCCCAAGATTTACATGGCACACACAGTGATTTAAAATGTTTTAATTGTGGAAAATTGGGGCATCTCAGAAAAAACTGCAAAATGAAAGGGGCTTTACAAGCTGACCCAGAGCCACTGAGTCAGGCATCCAGAGAAAACAAGGTACCGCCTGGCCTCTGCCCTCCATGCTGAAAAGGCACTCACTGGGCTAAAGATTGCTCCTCCAAATAGGACAGGGATGGTGCACTGCTGCCGGGAAACGGAAATCGAGCCCTTCCCTGGCTCCGGAAACAATAGGGGATCAGGGCCAGAGGGCTCCAGTCCCCCTGAGTCAGCAGTACCCGGCTCAGACCTGTGCACAAGTACAGAATCAGGCGGCATGGGTGTCCGGAGGGACATTTCTTCCCTCTCAGGGGAACACTGGGGAGCTCAGGAATAGATCTTCCTGCTGCTCAGAGAGTTCACCTGCTGGGAGGTGAGACTCCGGCATCTGTCCCCACAGGAGCTCATGGACCCCCACCCCCCGGAACCATTGGCTTGAGACTTGGAAAATTCTCTCTAATATGAAAGGCATTACTATTATTCCAGCTATTGTTGACTCTGATTGTACCCCTGAATTGTGTGTCCCTGTTAGCTCCACAGGACTTTGGGTAATAGAACAAGGAGATTATATTGCACAATTGTTGCTCTTGCCTAAACCACAATTAAATAATGTTAGCTTTAAAAATTCCCAAGAGGATCCTCAGCCAGAAATTCCTCATGAAGAGATTTATTTCACCCAAGAGATTTCCAAAAACCGGCCCATGTGCAAAATTAAATTGAATGGCAAGTTCTTTACAGGCCTGATAGACATGGGCGCAGACGTGTCCGCGATGAACACATGTGTTTGGCTGTCATCTTGGGGGAAAAAAACCAACTAAAACATCTCTGGGCCTTGGTCCCCCCAACAAGTTTTGCAGAGCTCCATTCCCCTGCCTCAGGAAGGGCCTGATGGTCAGTTGAGACATACTTATCCTTACATAGCTCCCATGCCTGTAAATTTATGGGGCAGAGATTTGTTGGAAGAATGGAGAGTCATAGTGACTACTTTGCCCCCTGAAACTTCACCGGGCCAACAGATGATGTCTAAAATGGGATATGCACTGGGAAAAGGATTAGGCAAGCAACTTCAGGGAACAACACAGCCTAGAGAACAGAAACAAAAAAATAATCTCTTTGGAATTGGATATGATCAAAATTTTTAGCGGGGCCTATTGAAGAAGTTTCTCTGCCCAAGGCAGCCTTACCTTTACAGTGGAAATCAAATGATCCCATTTGGGTTAATCAATGGTCCCTACCACAGGAGACACTAACTATTCTACAACAACTCATATTAGAATAAGTTAACAAGGGGCATTTAGAACCATCTGTGAGCCCTTGGAACGCACCTTATTTTGTTATTCCTAAAAGGTCAGGGAAATGGCGTTTGCTTCAGGACCTACATGCAATGGAAGCCTCATTCCAATGGGGGCACTGCACCCTGGCTTACCAAACCCAGTGGCAATCCCCCAGAAGTGGCCGCTTAGAATTATAGATTTAAAAGACTGCTTCTCTAACATTCCTTTGTGGCCAAGTGACCGACCTCGATTTGCCTTTTTGGTACCTAGTACAAATTTTAAAGAACCGATGAAGCTCTTTCAGTGGACTGCGTTGCCTCAAGGAATGGCAACAGCCCCACACTGTGTCAGCTTTTTGTAGCACAGGCTCTTCAAGCTACTCATAAATTATTCCCTACTGTATATTTAACACATTATATGGATGACATACTAATCTCTGCAAATACACAACAGCTACTTTTACAGGCCTTTGCTGTTGCAAAGAAGGATTTAGTGCGTTTTGGATTGTGCATAGCACCTGAAAAAGTTCAACTATCTGAGCCTTATACTTACCTGGGTACCCTCTTACCAGAGCAATCGGTTAAGCCACAAAAGATACAGTTTAGGACAAATTAAAAATGTTGAATGATTTTCAAAAATTATTAGGTGATATTAATTGGATTAGGCCTAAGATAGGGATAGCAACTTTTCAATTACAGAATTTGAACGAAATATTACAGGGAGATTCTGATCTTAATTCCCCTCAAAAATTAACTCCAGAGGCACAAAAGGAGTTACAAT